CCATAGTCCAGTAGGTGAGCACAATCAGGACCATGGGAAGTAAACCAGCTTTCTAAACCAAACTTGATCTTTTTTTTTTTTTTTTTTTTTTTTTTTTGAATATTCAGCCATGTGGTCATCAAGGCTGCCTTCCAGGGAGTAAGGAGGCATCACCCTGCCAAGCTGCAGGGGCACATGGCAGAGAGCTGGAGCTTCTGGGAGGAAAGAATCTGTTCAAGAGGAGGACCCCATGTCCAGGAAACTGTGTAAGTGGACGTTTCTTTTCACCTGCCAGTTCCCAAATTACCACGCAGAGGCTTATATTAATTGTAAATGCTCAGTCGATAGCTCAGGCGTATTACTAACTCTTACATTTTAAAATAGATTTTTATCATTTAATTTTTATTTGTGTGCATTGGTGTTTTGCCTGCATGTATGTCTATGTGAGAGTGTCAGTTCTTAGAGTTACAGACAGTTGAGCTTCCATGTGGGTGCTGGGAATTGAACCTGGGTCCTCTGAAAGAACAGTCAGTGCTCTTAACTGCTATGCCATGTTTCCAGCCCCTAACTCTTACATTTTAAGTTAACCCATATTCCTTACTTACGCTCTGCCATGTGGCAGTACCTTTATTAGCATGGTACATTAATCTCCTCCTGTTCACCCTGTGTCTGGCTGACATCTCCTGACTCTACCCTTCTCCTTCCCATCATCCTTAATTTGGTCACCCTACCTATACTGCCTGCCTGGCTACTGGCCAATCAGCATTGTATTAAATCAATTTGAGTGACAAATCTTTACAATGTACAAGAGGATTATTTCACAGCAAGACGGTCTCTCAAGAAGGCTATTGAGGTGCAGAAGTGAACAAGGGTTGGGCAGAAAGATGACTCAAGAAGAGGCTAACCTGGGTCATCTACTTGAAGGATCCTTCTTAGCCCTTCAGGTGACAGCCTGAATCTAGGGAGGGGCCCAGTGTGCTCACGGCAGTCCATACTGTTTCTATCTCTGGCTTCTGCCAGGCCTGCATGGACAGATCACAGGTCAATCCTGCCACTTCCCCCTCAGAAGCTTCTATCCACTTTCTCAGTTCTGAGCAAAGCCGAAGGGAAACCTGCACAGTTCTGTATGGCTGCCACCAGTTCCTTCTGTCCTTGCCTACCCCCTCAAGCCACACCAGCCTCCTTGAGACCCATCATCAGCTCCAGTTACTTCTCCTCTTCAGGCCATTTGCTTGTATTTGCTGGTCCCTCTGCTTTGAACCTATTTCTCTGTTCCCCACTCTAACCCCCTTCCATAGCATCTCTCACCACATGGATAATCTGTGTCCATCTCCTTCTCAACTAGACTAAAAGCACCATGAGAGCAGGGATGCTTCTGTACCTTGTCTCTGCTACTACCAAACACCTAAGATGGTGCCCAAACTTTATTTCCAGTGAATATTGAGTAAATGCTAAAGAACAACAATAATATAATTTATTTTGATTTTCTTTTACAATTCTATTACCATTCTCAAAATAGTTCCTCTCTCCCCATTATTATTGTTATTGTTATTATTGTTATTACAGGGTTTTTCACTTCAAGGGAAAATTTAAAGTGTGAATGACTGACTGGCAAGTTGTCAATAGATTCCGAAGTGTAATAAAACATGTGATATTTTTTTATTTGCTCCACAAACAGAGGTAGACAACTGCTGGGATCTCTTTCTGCTTAATGCTCCTGGGTTTCCCAGATTATTTTAAGGAGGACAAAATGTTTCTCTTGTGTGTGTGTGTGTGTGTGTGTGTGTGGTTTGGGTGGTGTGTGTATGGTATGTGTGTATAGTGTGTGTATGTGGTGTGTGTGGTGTGTACGGTGTGTGTGAGGTTTGGTGTATGTGGTCTGTATGGTGTGTGTGTGTGTCTCTGTGTGTGTGTGTGTGTGTGTGTGTGTGTGTGTGTGTGTGTGTGTGTGTGTGTCTGTGTGTGTGTGTCTGTGTGTGTGTGTGTGTGTGTGTGTGTGTGTGTGTGTGTGTGTGTGTATGTGTATAAAGGGAGGGAGATCGATCACCTAATTGTTTCAGGTTTAGCCATTGACTTGGCCACAGGGAGCCGTTATTTAAAGGTAAATATAAAGTTCAGAGTACTCAGAGATTTGGGTGGTATCTTTATGTCTTTCCTTGCCTGTTTTCTTCCTTCCTTCCTTCCTTCCTTCCTTCCTTCCTTCCTTCCTTTCTCCTTTCTTTCTTTCTAAGGTGAATATAATGTTCAGAGTACTCAAAGATTTTCTTTCTTTCTTTCTTTCTTTCTTTCTTTCTTTTTCTTTTTCTTTTCTTTTCTTTTTTTATTTTTTTGGACAAGGTCTCATTTTGTAATAAGCCCCAACTGCCCTAGAACTCCCTGAGATCCTCCCAGCAGAGGCCTCCTTGGACTCTTCCCATGAGGAGGAGAGACAGAAGGTTTCAGGAAAGCCAACACTTCAAACTCCCCTGTGGACTGTTAGATTCAAAGTTCTTCCTCTTCCTCTTCTTCCTTTTCGTTCTTGGTTTGTTTCTTTTGTTTGTTTTGACTGGGGATCAATCAAGAGCTTCTAGCATGCTAGGCAAGTGCTCTACCATAGAGCTATGCCTCCAGCCCTTAAAATTTTTTCTTATGTATTTATTTAGAGTTAGATTTTACTATATAGCATTGCCTAACCTGGAACTTGCTATGCAGACTAGGCTGGCCTTGGACTCAGAGATCTGCCTGCCTCTGCCTCCTTCATGCTGGGATTAAAGGTCTATAACATCACACTCAGAAAATTTTCTATTAAAAATTTAGTTGCATTTAATCTCTCTCTCTCTCTCTCTCTCTCTCTCTCTCTCTCGTGTGTGTGTGTGTGTGTGTGTGTGTGTGTGTGTGTGTACATGTGCGCAGGTGCACATATGCAAGCCACAGCCTGTGTGTGAAGGTTGAGGACAACTTGTGGAATGTTCTCTCCATTTAACATGTGTGTCTCAGGGATCTAACTCAGGTCACCAGCTTAGTGGTTGCACTTTGTATAATTTCAAAACTACTTTTTCCTGTTCTACACTATTTGTTTCCTGACTGTTGGGCAGGCAACTCAAAACACTATTAAGCCTTTCTTCTACAGCCCTGGCCACAATGGCAAGGAACAGAAAGAAAGCTATGCACACAGCCAGGTGTCAAGGGTGTTGGCTGCATGGCTCTTGAGGGCAAAGGTATGGGGGCACTATACAGGAGCAGTATGGTCAATATTCCTCCAAGGTGTTTCTGGAGGGGAATTTCCATTTTATCACTAGGTTCTTACATTTTTCTCAAAGAGCAAATTCCAGAGTCAAACTATGCTGCAGGGCCTCATCCTGCCCCTCTTAACCAGTCTCCTTGTAGATGGCCTAAGGAAAGTCCCTGCTCTTGTCTCTGTCCTGGGACTGTCTCATGCTTCCACCAAGGGGTTATTTTTTTGTTTGTTTCTTAAGATAAGGTCTATGTAATCCTAGTTAGCCTGGAACTCAGATCCACCTGCTTTGGCCTTTAAAGTGCTAGGATTAAATATCCTCTTGTCCTTCTTCTCCCTTCTTTTCTCTCTCTCTCTCTCTATATATATATAGATATATATATATAGATATATATCTATATATATATCTCCCTCCCTCCCCTCTCTTACCCACCTTCTCTCCTTCTCTCTCACCCCTTTCTTTCTTCTCCCCTTTTTTTCTCTTTCCCACCCAGTTTCTCCCTCTCCCCTCTTTTCCTCCCTCCCTCCCTTCCTCTCTCCCTCTTTCTCTCCCTCCCTCCCTCCCCCACCTCTCTTTCTCTCAGGGTCTCCCTACACAGTCTTGGAAGCTTGAACTTGCAGCCCCTTGCACAGCCTCTGGGTACTGAGATCACTGCTAACAGCAGCTGGTTTAGGGGAAACACATTGTTGAGTGGTGTGATGGCTATTCTTGATTGTCAACTTGACTACATCTGGAACTAGCTAAAACCCAAGTGGCTGGGTACAGCTGAGAGGAATTTTTTTCTTAACTAAATCACTTGAAGTGGGAAAACCCACGTTTAATCCAGATATCCTGAGAGGGGGGAAGACCCACCTTTAACATGGGCCATACCTTCTGCTGGCAGCCTGTGTAAAGGAGGTGGAAGATGGAAACAAGCTCTCTGCCTACTTGCTCTTGCTGATCAAATCCATCCCTTCACTTGTGTGAGAACACACTTCTATGGGATTCCAGTGTCTACTGAAGACCAGCTGAGACATCCGGCCTTGTGGACTGAACAACTATTGGACTCTTGGACTTTCTGCTGGTAGACAGACTTTGTTGGATTAGCTGGACCACAGACATGCTGATAAATCTCATATATATGTTCATTTTTCAAGTTCTGTTTCTCTAGGGCAGTGGTTCTCAACCTCCTTCCTAATGCTGTGACTTTAACACAGTTCCTTTGTGGTGACACCCAACCATAAAGTTACTGTCGTTGCTACTTTATAACTAATTTTTCTATCATCGTGAATTGTAATATAAATATCTGTGTTTTCTGATGGTCTTAGGTGACCCCTGTGAAAGGGTTGTTCTAAATGGATCAGGATGCACAGGTCGAGAACCACTGATCTAGAGAACCCTGACTAATATAGGTGGTAGGGTGCATAAAATTTTGCTGCTCACCTTACCCACAATTCCTGTCTGGCCTTACTTTCTGTAGTGCCCATCAAGCTTCCAGTGCTGTGGCAGGCTCCTGTGACTGACATATTCCTTCTGACACTTAAGAGGGAATGGAGGGGGAAAGGAGATGGATACATGCTTAGTTAGCTGAAAGCCCCTAAAGAATGGTGAAATTAAGAATTACACATTTCAAGCTAAGAAGGGTAGATGGTAGTTGGAAGCATAGCTCTGGGGAAGCATAACCCCAGTGAAGTTTTTGTTAGAAATAAAAGTACAGATTCAGGGGTAAAATGAAACTACTTAGTAGGAGTACCTTCTGGTACATTCCCCAAGAGCTATACTGTTCAAACCTTTGTTTGGGTTATGCGCTTCTCTGCCTCATCCTGGTCTCAGGTCCCCAGAACTATGGGGACCCAGAATGCTTCCAGCATTCACAAACATCCTCTGAGAGTTGACTTTTCAAGATCTTCATGGCAGGCTCTTCCCAGGGAAGAAATGGACAAGAAACTGCTGCCTCAGTGGTCTCCTTAGAATGGATAGATGGCTCCACTATCCATTGAACACCACTTTGACATTAGGTAAAGTGACAAGGTAGTAGTATTTCTACTACTCAGTATCTAGAAGCTTTGAAAAAATTATTCCTCCATTGGGCGATGTTCTACAGAGATGATTCTTCCTGTCATGTGATAATAGAGGCTGTGCTCTGTTTATATATTCAAGATGCAGATTCCAATGCCCCACGCTAGGGAACGGAGTGGCCGTCTGCATGAATCACTCCTCACAGAAAGGAGTCACATGCCTGTCTTGGGAAATTTGCAGCCTCACGCTCACTCCCAGAGGGACAAAGGATAATGACTTCATGTCGCTGGCTGCTCACTCACTATGCTCCTCAAGCACAGGTTTTCTTTTGAAGGAAAAGCTGCCTCGTCTTTTTAAAGGACATCACAAGACTCTTGGTGACACGATTCAGCTCTGGCATCCGCCACAAAGACATTTGTGTGTCCTTCTGGGGCTTGGAGCCAGGCTTCCAGCCAGCACAAACTTTCTGCCCGTCTTCCACATGAAGGGCAGAGCTCCTGCTTCTGCCAGGAATGAAGATGGCCACTGCTGCTGCCCCAAGCCTCCACAGCAGCTAGGTAAGGGCTCAAGCCTGCTAGTACCCCACCATGGCCATTTGTGGACAGTACAGTGAGAGAAGAAAGGTCAGCACAGCCAGACTGCTTTGATAAACAAAGGGACAGTGTGTTTTCCTTTGCTGGGGTGGTGACCATCTGTGCAGAGCAGTTACCTTTGTTATAGCACCCAAGAAGCCCCCTGCTTCTCCACTACTGCTTTGAGACTCTGCCAGCCCGAAGTACAGGAATATCACAGAAGCCACCAAATTAGGGAGGTAATTCTTCCTAGTCTAGGAAATTGGCTCTGTGGGAGACTCATCAGTTTTAACCTTAGCTCTGTGTTTGCATCCTTCATGACCGAGCTATAAGCTGCAGGCTGTCTGACCTTTTAGTAGGTTGAGTTCCTGACAGATGCTAACCCTACAATGACAGGTTGTTGGTCAGTGCCTGGGAGGGGAAGGGACAGATGGAGGGAAGGAGTGAAGCATTGTGGAGCCAGCTGCAAAGCAGGCTACTGCAGCTTGAGCCTATAGGGAGCCCAGGACACCTAGCTCAGCCCAGGAGAGGAGAGAGTAGGGAGTTGGGGCATGCACACTCACAACTGTGGGTACATAGGAAGGGCTTCCAAGGACAGAACTCATAGGAGTTTCTAGTTTGTCGTGTTTATAAGCAAGTGGATATAGATATAGGGGCTGGCCACTGGGAACCAGGCTGGGCCTGTCCAGATGGGAGGAGACTGGGCAGGGCAATGGGAGCCTTGGCTCTGGCTTCAGTTCCTTGTGGTATCAGAGAGGGTTCTTGCTTTTGTTGGCTTGTTAAAGACAGGTCTCAGCTGTGGAGCTCAGGCTAGCCTCAAACCCTAATTCTGAAGTGCTGGCTTACAGGAGTGCAATGCCATATCTGGCTCCCATGCACAATTTGGAAAATGCACATAAGGGCTGGTGAGACAGCTCAGGGAGTAAAGATGCTAATTGGGCAAACCCAGTGACCTGAGTTTGATCCCATGGTGGAAAGAAAGAGCTGATTCATGAAAGTTGTCCTCTAATTTCCACACTATGCCTCCGTACACATACACACACAGACACACAGACACAGACACACAGACACAGACACACACACACACCACACATACACACACACACAGACACCATAAACACACACACATGCCATATACATACACATCATACACATACACACCATGCATGCATATCATACACACATACCACACACACATACATACACACCACATAGATACACCATAATATACATCATACACACAGCATACACACATCACACACACATATACCATGTGCATACATCACACACACACCATACACACACATCACACACACACTATACACACACCTCACACACACAATTTCCCATAGACCACACATATGTACATCATACGTACACACCACACAAACATACCCCCACACACCCCATACACACATACCACACATGCATACACCACACACATACTCACCACACACACTCATACCACACATCATACACACATGTACCCACACACCACACATACACACATCATACATACACCATACACATCTACCTCCTCCCCCACATTAATAATAATGTTTTTTTTAAAAAATGAAACTCCTTTTGGCTTTTCTCTCCTAGGAAGGGCATAAGAAAACAAAGCCTGTGATGTCCTTGGTATACTTCCTCCAGTAGCAGCTCTCCTTAAATATTGCCCATTATTTCTGGGAACCTCTACTCAGAAGTTTGGGTTCTAGGGTTCCTTTTTCCAGCTCATTTATTTCCTATAGCATTTTGTGTCTCCACAATATAGCTCAGTGTCTCATTTTGTCCAGGACACATTAAAGACCTCAATTCTTTTCCTTTTTTATATTTATTTTTAATCCAGGTTGGAGGCACACACCTTTAATCCCAGCACTTGCGAGGCAGAGGCAGGTGGATATCTGTGAGTTTGAGATCAACCTGGTCTAAAAATGAGTTCTAGGACAGCCAGGGCTGTCATACAGAGGTGTCTTTGAAGGCTGTAAGATGGTGTCAGATCCCCTGGAACTGGAATTACAGGCAGCTGTGAGTTTCTTGTCTTGGGTGCTGGGACCAAATGAGTCATCGCTAGGTAAGCACTCATAAGTGCCTAGCAACCTCTCCAGCCCCTGATTTCTTCATTTTACAGTGCCACAGTCTACTTCTCCTATAGTGCTGTGGTGCTATGGTCTGGATGTTCCTTTCCAAATTCAGATTGTTACTGAACTTCATTGCAGCAGTGTGGAGAGGTTAGGTCTTTTAAAATTAATTCATTTGGTGTGTGTGTGTGTGTGTGTGTGTGTGTGTGTGTGTGTGATGTAGAGCGTGTGGAAGTCACAACTTGTGGGAGTCACTTCTCTCCTTCCACTGTGTGGGTCCTGGGGATGGAACCCTCTGAGCCATCTCACCAGCTCAAAGCTAAGTGTTAGAGGTTATCAAGCTATGTGGGCAGCAGCTTTGTGAAGAAATTAATGGTGTGTTAAGGAAGTAGCTTAGTTAGGAAATGCAGGATTCCTCTCCTCCCTTTCTTCCTTTTGTTCTTTTGCTAATTTTCTAATTTTTTTTAGTTTAATGTTTAATTATATATTTGTGTGTGGGAATGTTATGTGTATGTGAGGACAGTGCCCGCAATGGCCAGAAGAGGGCGTTGGATCCCCTGGAGAGGGAGTTAAAGGTGGTTGTAATCTGCCAGACATGGGTGCTGGAAATTGGCTAAGGCCCTCTGCCTGAGCAGTGTGTGCTCTTAACTGCTGAGCCACCTCCCTAGACTGGTTCTTTGCTTTTCTTTTTCTTTGTTTATTTTGAGATCAGGAGTTTTCTATGCAGCTAAGGCCAGCCAACCCACTTTGCCTCAGCATCTGTATACTGGAATTATAGGTGTTTGCCACTGTATCTAGCTTGTTTTCCTGTCATCCTTGTCATGTGATCCCTTTTTGACATACTGTGACAAAACAAGGAAGTCCTCAATCCTTAGTAGACCCCACCTTTCAGTTTTAACTTCCAGCCTCCAGAATTCCTGTTCATCAACAGGATCTGGTCAGGGTCAGATCTTCTGTTATAATGGCAGGAAATGGACTAAGATGGATGTTGAGAATATGGTACCTAAGTGACACAGAATATTGACTGCTTTAAACTGCATCATGGCTGACAGATCCAGAAGGCAACCCCACCTGAGAGAAGATGGTTGAGAGCAAACAAACATTCTGTAAATGTGCCTAGCAATGGTGACACACGTCTTTTATTCCAGCACTCAGGAGACAGAGGCAGGCGGATCTCTGTGAGTTCAAGGCCAACCCGGTATACAGAGCAAGTTCCGGGACAGGCTCCAAAACCACAGAGAAACCCTGTCTTTGGTTTCTCGAGGCAGGGTTTCTCTGTGTAGCTTTGGAGCCTATCCTGGCACTTGCTCTGGAGACCATGCTGGCCTTGAACTCACAGAGATCCACCTGCCTCTGCCTCCCAAGTGCTGGGATTAAAGGCGTGAGCCACCAACACCCAGCCAGAGAAACCCTGTCTTAAAACAAAAACAAACAAACAAACAAAATTCTGTAACCTTGAAAGGCAATGTTCTAAAATCCCCACCCATGGACTCTCCTTTCTGGGTGATTTTCTGTTTCTGTCAGGTATGGAGTGGCGGTGACACAGGTCTTGTCTGAGAAGAGGCACGGAAAACATGACTAGGGCAGTGCATTCATCCTGGGCTGCTGTGAGATCGATAGCAATCAGGCCTCCAATCTGTTAGGTGATTTTTAAGTTTCAGATATTGAGACTGGAGAGATGACTCAGCAGTTAAGAGAACTGACTGCGCTTGCAAAGGACCCAGGTTCAATTCCCAGCACCCACAGGCAGCTCCCAGCCGTCTATAATTCCAGTGCTAGGAGATCTGATACCCTTTTCTGGCCTCTGATGGCACCAGGCTTAAATGTGGTATACATACATATATGGGGGCAAAACACCCATACATATAAAACAGAAATAAGTAAATAAATAATTTTAAAAAGTTTCTCAAGGGCTGAGAGATGGCTCAGGGGTTAAGAGCACTGAGTTCAATTCCCAGCAACCACATGTGAAAGACCCCCGGAGGCTCAGTACCCCAGGATCTTGGTCCAGGACCTCGACGACCCCAATCACCAGGTGGAGGCGGAAATTTGATGTAAACAGCAAGAGGCTTTATTGTAGTTCTTTAACGAGCTAACCCCACGTTAGCTCGTGCCTTTCATCCATCCACCATGGTGGGTGGCTAGGAAAGACACTGCAAAGCCATTGCATAGAGATCTTATAGGGCAGCGTAAGGGGAGTGTCTAGGGGTATGCACAGGCTCAGGATTGGTGTGCCTCCAGACTTGCCCTGTGTTGATTGGTCAACTGATGGTTATGGCCCATAGGCCCTCCCAGGACGATTGCTATGCTCTGCGAGTCATTGCTGTGCACTTATCCAAAAAGCACACCCAGAGCCATAAAGCATAGCACCACCAGCTAACTTCTGATTGGTTCCTTGCCATGAGGCAGGCATCTGACCTCCTAGTGACCAAGGCAAGGTCAAGGCAAGCACCCACAGGCAAGCACCCACTGTCATGGCTGCTGAGCGGGGCAGGCATCTGACCTCCTAGTGACCAAGACAAGGTCAGGCAAGTACGTGTTCAGCTGTTATGGCTGCCGAAATGGGGAACTGGTCCCTTCACATGGTGGTTCACAGCCATCTATAATGAGATCTGGTGCCCTCTTCTGGCATGCAGGCATACCTGGGGGCAGAACACTGTATATGTAATAAATAAATCTTTTTTAAAAAAGTTTCTCTAGTTATTTTTTTCCTTCAAACTTTACATTATTGAAGATCAAACATAGGGCATTGTTCATGTGAAGCAAATAGTCCACCACTGAGGTATAGTCACAGCTCTCTTTTTAATTGGGGAGAGGGGTAAGGTCCCACTATGTGGCCCTGACTAGAACTATATAGACCAAGCTGTCCTTGAACTCACAGAGACCTACCTGCCTAAAGGCCGC